CAGCCCTGTCGCAGACTTAGCCCCTGCCTAGGGTTGGGTGCCTGCTGCTAGTTGCCGTGCACAACCTGTGCCGGGCAAGTGTCTGGTGTTGAGGGCACTTGGCAAAGGGCCAGAGTGCCATTCTTTTGCAAAGAACAGAACACAGAAATCTAGATTTCCATGGCCTCCTCTGCTGCAACCAATAGACCCCACTTCCCTCCAAGAGCCATGGATACAGCCCAGGCATTCTGACTCCCAGCCTCCCCCGTTCTAATCCACGCTACACTTTTCCTCTACCAGAGGTGGGAAGAAAACCCAGAAGTCCTGACTTGTATCCCTTCTTTAATCTACACAGCTCCAAGACCAGACGAATCACCTTTTCTGCCTTTACTTATGCATAGATAGTTCCACTGGGCTGCTGGGTTTTTTATGAAGAATTCTGCCTTGCAGACATAACTCCACCAAACTCCAATGACAGCTTTGCCTGTAGAAATACAACAGGGCTGGGGGAAGCTCTGGGATTTATTCTTTAAACCTTAGAACCACTAGGAATGTGTGATCTTATTTTATTTCCCTGTGAAGCATCAGGTGAGGATGCTCGAGAATTTAACAGAATGTTAGGATATAGATATTCAGGCCTGTCTGTAAAGGCCTGTACTCTAAGAATTTAGGTGTATTCTTATCACTTGGCTAGTTCTAGAGGTATAAAAGAAAGAATCAAAATCACTGTGTGCCGGTGTAAGGGCCTTCTCTTACTGTGACAGTCTGAGGCCCTGTTCTTAGGCTTAGGCCTTTGGCTAAGCAACAGAGGCAGCCATAAGCTGGGAAGCAACCGGTCACATCCTCACATTCCAAACTAGTCACATTGAAAGAAGGTGCTATTGGGCTGTTAGGAATACAATCCTGTCCTGATAGTGCCCATGGCCTCCAGAGAAAGGGAAATGCCTAGAAAATGTAAAAGGAAACTTAGTTTGATAGCATCCTGTCTGGCAAGAACTCACTTATCAGTAAGTGGGATGTGAAATCCTCATTTCTGTGTTTGTTCTATCACTGTAGTCCCCATTTCCCCATTGTTTGTCTGTATAATCTCTGTCTGGTTCTGTGATTGTTTCTGTCTACTGTATAATTCATTTTGCTGGGTGTAAACTAATTAAGGTGGTGGGATATAATTGATTACATAGTCATGTTACAATATGTTAGGATTGGTTAGTTAAATTTCAGGAAAATGATTGGTTAAGGTAATACACAATGGGCTGCATCGCTCCCTGAGACAAGAATGTCTCCGCAGAAGTCTGATCTCAGCTGGACTCGCTGTAGGAGCTCCTGGTGGCAAACAGGGGTGCTGGAGCCTGAAGGCCCAATCCTGGAATCAGGAAGGCTGTATGGCCTACCCTGGTGGAACAGTGTGGCCCCCTGAGGTCTGCCACACTGAAAGGGAGACTGTTTAAAGGCCAGGATCCAGCACAGACCTGGTAAACCCATGTCTGATGGGGTGTTCACCCCACACCACCTCTGAAGGGCTTAACGTGGCTAGTTGGATTAATTAACCACCAAGGCTGCACCTGTACAGGGAACCAGGGAGCAAAGAGGGCTAATCAAAGGATGAAGCTCACCTGGACAGGAATAGGAAGGGCTTGTAGAAAGCCAGGTAGCTGAGGGCAGAAAGGGGCTGCAGGGACGAGGTCTGTAGCCACTCTGGGGCTTGGGAGAACAGGGAGCTTGGCCCAGAGGGAAAGGCAAACCCGGAGGAGGATGGAAAAGAAGCTGGACAGAGACAATGTAGGAAGCAGACCAGAGAAACAGAAGTCAGGTGGGGGACAGTGCAGGTCTTAGCCACTGGATGTAGGGTCCCTGGGCTGGAACCCAGAGAAGAGGCCAGGCCTAGGTTCCCCTACCACCCACTGGGGAAATGGCCCCATTGATGGGCAGTGAACTGGAAGACTGCCTGGGATGACTGGTACAGAGAGACTTGGATACACGAACCCCCCACCCCCCAGAAGGGGAAAACTACAGTGACCTGGCCAAAGGGCGAAGTCACGAAGAGGGAGCCATTGAGTCCCGAGAGAGAGACGGAGTGAGCACGTCAGGAAGGGGCGTCAGACTGGCAGAGTATTCCCCAGCTGTGGCCACAAGAAGGTGCTCCAGTGGTGAGCAGAGCACTCCATGATGCCTTGATACAGGCATTTGAGTTACATAAATATTAACACAGGCAACGAGTCTTACAGGCTCCCTTTGTTGACACTTATCTAACTCAGTTATCCCAGGAGCATATTGGAGAAAAATCCTCATTGTTAAAAATTTATATCAAAACTTTCCATGGTGACAGGCGGTGCCCAACTGTTAATGGTTAAGGGGGCCCAATTTTGAGACAATGCTGAGCACTTCCACCTGAAAATTAGGCCTCCAAAATATCTCACACAATGGAGGTCCTTTGAGATTGCTACTGAAAACTCTTAACTTATGTTTTAAAGCCATTCTCCAAATTCAGTCAGGTTTAACTGATCAGACCCAGTTCTCCAGTCTTCCCAAGAGACTTCCAAGTTATACAACTCCCAAATGTCTAATGTACAAGCCCCAAGCAGGTCGATTCCCTCTGCCCCTTCCCCAGGCTTTGCTTTGTGCATCATAAAGTAGCAAAATTGAGGGGCACAATCCCCAGTTTTATTTCCCTTTCCAGGACGCCTTTAAATTTCTTCTCCTGGTTGGTTGAGAGAAATGAGAGATCAATTGTGGATCTTAATTACTGCAAACCAGACTAAGAAAAGACCGAGAGATCTATGCTCTGCAGCCAACTCAGAGCATAAACAAAACAGGTCAGTTGAGAGCCACTTCTGCTTAGAGAATTACTCATCAAATAAAGAAAAGGAGTACTTGTGGCACCTTAGAGACTAACCAATTTATTTGAGCATAAGCTTTCGTGAGCTACAGCTCACTTCATCGGATGCATACTGTGGAAAGTGTAGAAGATCTTTTTATACACACAAAGTATGAAAAAATACCTTCCCCCACCCCACTCTCCTGCTGGTAATAGCTTATCTAAAGTGACCACTCTCCTTACAATGTGTATGATAATCAAGGTGGGCCATTTCCAGCACAAATCCAGGGTTTAACAAGAACGTCTGGGGGGTGGGGTGGGAAAAAACAAGGGGAAATAGGTTACCTTGCATAATGACTTAGCCACTCCCAATCTCTATTCAAGCCTAAGTTAAATTGTATCCAATTTGCAAATGAATTCCAATTCAGCAGTCTCTCGCTGGAGTCTGGATTTGAAGTTTTTTTGTTGTAATATTGCAACTTTCATGTCTGTAATCGTGTGACCAGAGAGATTGAAGTGTTCTCCGACTGGTTTATGAATGTTATAATTCTTGACATCTGATTTGTGTCCATTTATTCTTTTACGTAAAGACTGTCCAGTTTGACCAATGGACATGGCAGAGGGGCATTGCTGGCACATGATGGCATATATCACATTGGTGGATGTGCAGGTGAATGAGCCTCTGATAGTGTGGCTGATGTTATTAGGCCCTGTGATGGTGTCCCCTGAATAGATATGTGGGCACAGTTGGCAACGGGCTTTGTTGCAAGGATAGGTTCCTGGGTTAGTGGTTCTGTGGTGTGGTGTGTGGTTGCTGGTGAGTATTTGCTTCAGGTTGGGGGGCTGGCTGTAGGCAAGGACTGGCCTGTCTCCCAAGATTTGTGAGAGTGTTGGGTCATCCTTCAGGATAGGTTGTAGATCCTTAATAATGCGTTGGAGGGGTTTTAGTTGGGGGCTGAAGGTGACGGCTAGTGGCGTTCTGTTATTTTCTTTGTTAGGCCTGTCCTGTAATAGGTGACTTCTGGGAACTCTTCTGGCTCTATCAATCTGTTTCTTCACTTCCGCAGGTGGGTACTGTAGTTTTAAGAATGCTTGATAGAGATCTTGTAGGTGTTTGTCTCTGTCTGAGGGGTTGGAGCAAATGCGGTTGTATCGTAGAGGTTGGCTATAGACAATGGATCGTGTGGTGTGGTCAGGGTGAAAGCTGGAGGCATGTAGGTAGGAATAGCGGTCAGTAGGTTTCCGGTATAGGGTGGTGTTTATGTGACCATCGTTTATTAGCACTGTAGTGTCCAGGAAGTGGATCACTTGTGTGGAGAGAGATTTGTGGGGGGGACCTGGATTTGTGCTGGAAATGGCCCAACTTGATTATCATACACATTGTAAGGAGAATGATCACTTTAGATAAGCTTTACCAGCAGGAGAGTGGGGTGGGGGGAGGTATCTTTTCATGCTTTGTGTGTATAAAAAGATCTTCTGCACTTTCCACAGTATGCATCCGATGAAGTGAGCTGTAGCTCACGAAAGCTTATGCTCAAATAAATTGGTTAGTCTCTAAGGTGCCACAAGTACTCCTTTTCTTTTTGCGAACACAGACTAACATGGCTGTTACTCTGAAACCTGTCACCAAATAAAGAATAATATGGGTATCATTATTCCCATTGTACAAAGAGAGGCCCAGAGAGGTCAAGTGACAGAGCTGGGGCTGGAACCCAGGAGTCCTGATTCTCCCAGCCCCCTCTGATATCACCCCTAGACCCCATTCCCCTCTCTAAGGACCAAACCCAGGAGTCCTGACCCCCAGCCCTAATCACTATACCTCACTATGTTTGCTTATTTCCTCTCTACAAATCTACACATCAAAGCTGAACAAGTTACCTTCGCTCTTCCTGCCATTTTGGGATCTTCACAGAGGCCATCAGCACCTTGATCCACTGGAGGGGGGAAAAGGGGGCTTCTAGTGCACTGGCATGCATTGCAGGTAGGAGCCAAGGCTTCCGAGATGGATTGGTATGTCTTGCTGAGCAGTGGGGGTGGGAAGAGAGGAAGCCAATTTACTCTCTATAAAGGTGCCCTTGTCCCTCCCAGCGCCCCCGGAAGGCACATTAATGTCCCCCTCTGTAGTGGCCCCTGTTCCCCAGGACATGTCAATTTCACTCTCTAGAGGGCCACCAGTGCCCCCCCTCTCCATCTGCTGGGTGTCTACTTGGTGTGCATCCTCAGGTGCTTCATAAGGGCGGAGCTGTCTCCAAAGCCCTTCCCGCAGTCGGTGCATTTGTAGGGCCGCTCTCCAGTATGGGTGCGCCGGTGGTTGGTCAGCCTAGACCTATTGATGAAACCCTTCCCGCACTCGGGGCACTTGTAGGGCCGCTCCCCGGTGTGGATGCGCTGGTGGTTCATCAGGGATGAGTTGCAGCGAAAGCGCTTCCCGCACTCGGTGCACTCGTAAGGCCGGTCTCTGCGGTGGATCTGCCGGTGCCGCATGAGCGACGAGCTCTGGCTGAAGGTCTTGCCGCACTCGGGGCAGCTGTAGGGTCTCTCTCCGGTGTGGATGCGCCGGTGTTTGATGAGATTGGCGCTCTGGCTGAAACTTTTCCCGCAGTGGCCACAGCTGTAGGGTTTCTCTCCGGTGTGGATGCGCCGATGCTGGATCAAGTTGGAACTGCTTATGAAGCTCTCGCCGCACTCGGCACAGGTGTAGGGCTTTTCGCCCGTGTGCGTGCGGACGTGCTTGGCGAAGGATCCCAGGCTGAAGCTCTTCCCGCACTCGCTGCAGAAGCAAGGCTGCTCTGCAGCATGGGTGTGGTAATGCTTCACCAGGGTGTAGTTGCATTTGAAGCTCTTCCCACACTTGGTGCATTGGTAGGGCCGCTCGCCCGTGTGGATGCGCTGGTGCTGGAAGAGGTGGGAACTCCGGATGAAGCTCTTCCCGCACTGGCCGCACTTGTAGGGGCGCTCCCCGGTGTGGATGCGCTGGTGATCGATGAGGTTATATCTGAGGACAAAGCTCTTCCCGCACTCGGTGCACTTGTAGGGCTTCTGGCCCGTGTGGATGCGCTGGTGCTGGACCAGGTGGGAGCTCTGGCTGAAGCTCTTCCCACAGTCCGAGCAGCTGTAGGGACGTGCCTCAGCCTGGGCTTGGTTGTGCTCTGTCACCACCCTGATGTCCATCTCATCCGGAGATATCGCCTCCGTCTCCTGCTGCCGTCCAACCCCGCTGGCCTCTCCCTGCTCGGTGCTTCGAGACATCCCACAAGGCTCCCTTCCTGCAGGCCCTTCCTGCTCAGGATTATCCTCCTCCATCCCAGCACCTACTGGGAGAGAGGGAGAATCCAGGCAGGGCTTGTTCCCTGTGCCAGGGAGAGACAGGGCACAAAAGGAGGCAGAAAATCTGAAAAGCAGGAAACGAATCCCCTGCAAACCCTTCCCCAGAGGAGAGCGGAGGGGCTGGTTCTGCCCCAATGGTCTTGCATGAGCCCACAGAGAATGGCTGGGGGAGGGCAGGGTTCTTCCCAGGGGTCAGGCAGGGTGGGCGAGAGCCGGGAGTGACATGTGTCAGGAGGACAGGGACCTGCTGGAGATGACATTGAGCGAGACCTGTGGAGGGCTCCAGGCGGCTTTGCTGGGATCCCCTCACTCCTGTAAATTGCCAAACTAACCTAAATTATTTGATGCCAATTTTGCCACTTCAAGGCTCCCGCAGCTTGTGGACCACTGACACTAGCCCTATGCGTTTGGGGTGCGACGTCAGGCTTGCTGACCAGAACAGTCCCTTCTGACCTTCCCCATCTATGGCTCTAGCCTGGCACCCTGGGGTGCTGGCCGTTAGTTCGTGGCGGGTCTCTGGGCCAGCGTCACTCCTTTCTCACCTGTGCAAATGACCATCAGGTTCTCCCTTTCCTGGGAGCCCTGGAGATCAGGGACTCTCGGCTCTTCCCTTCGCTCCATCCTGGGGATCACGGCCGGGACAGGGAATCCTGCTCAGGGGAAGGAAACAGGCAAGATGACACTTCGTGAAGTCTCCCTGGAGGTCTTGGTGCAAAGAACACGCTCTCATTTTAACCCCGGCCCCATTCTCTGCTGGGGGGCGTGGGGGAGGATATGTTTACAGGGACCCTTGGGACAGGGTGATGCCTGGGGGAAATGGGCTGTGCCCCCCATAAGGGAGTCAGGGATCTCAACACACAGTGAGAGGCCCGAATGGCTCAGGGAGTCGCTGGGCCATTCCTAGCCCGGCAGAGAGAGCAGAACCCCTGCTGGGCACGGAGCTGCCTTGGGAGGGGGATACAGGGATTCAGTGCCTGTGTGAACTGGAGCAAGGACATGCAGCCACCTGTGCCCTGGAGAGCCCTGGGGGAGGGGATCAAACTACCCCATGTGAATCCCCTTCCAATGAGGGGCTGTGGGGGTGACAGTCTCTCCTGTGGGGTTGGGGGCAGGGGCCAATCCCCCAGAAATCTACAGGGCCAGGGAAGAGCCCTGAGACGAAGCTATCCGGGGCTCCCCACTACATCAGCTCCTGATCCCCGAGGGGCAACGGCGCCTCACCCAGTGAGATGAGAGTCTGGTAGTTCTCCTGCATGACGTCCCTGTAGAGCTGCCTCTGCCCTTCGTCCAGGAGGCCCCACTCCGCCCGGGAGAAATACACGGCCACCTCCTCGAACCCCACCGGCGCCTGGAACCAGAAGGGACCCCGCTCAGCACCTGCCGCTCCAGCCACGGCCCCCAGCGCTGGATCGGAGGGCGGGCAGCGAGGGGCACAGCTGGGAGAGCCCAAAGGGGGAGTCTGTGGAGCAGGATCCAGGGGGAAGGTGCAGTGCTCACTGTCCGATAGCACATCCCGCTGCGCATCTCACCTGGTAGCCAGCCGCAGCGACCACCAGCTCCTGTGCCAGGCCGCTCCCCTCCTCGCCCAGGGCAGGCCGATCTGTGGGGAGGACATGGGGGGTCAGAGGCCAGGGCACAGCCCCACGGGGACGTGTGCATGGCCCCCTATGGAGCAAACCGCTCTGCTGGAGACCCGTGGCTGGCACAACATCCAGGGGGCCCTGCTGGGGTCATGCTCATCCTGGGGCACATGGGCGGCTGCTGGGATCGCCAGCCCCCTTGGCACAGCTCCCAGCCCCACGGAGCCATCTCTCTGCTGCTCCCCCATGATCTGGGGCACGTGAACCCTGCGGGCAGCCCCGGGGGCACGAGACACAAACACTCGCCGAGTCTGTTCCAGCCGCACACACGGAGCCCAGCTCTGCAGCTCCAGCGACTCCCGATTTCAGCCCTGCCGGACCCGGTTCGCGCCCCGCCGCCCAGCCCCGCCGTACCCATGTCCTGCCGCCCGCGGGGCTCCGGCCTCCGGGAACCGGGACAGGGACCAGGCTCCAGCTGGGAGCGCGGGGGATCCATCGGGCCTGAGAGCCTGTCCCGTCTGCCGGCGTCACGTCCCCACGTGTGTCACCCGGAGCCAATCCGCTTATGTCAGAGGCAGGGACTGAATGAAGGGGCTGGTACCCGTGCATCTGCCACCGGCGCCCCCCAGTCCCCAGCCGCAGCCCCTGCTAGCCCAGCCGCCCCCCAGCGCCCCCCAATCCCGACCCACAGCCCCTGCTAGCCCAGCCGCCCCCCAGCGCCCCCCAATCCCGCCCCTGCTAGCCCAGCCCTGGGCTCCCCACAGCCCTGCCAGCGCCCCCCAGTCCCGACCCGCAGCCCCTGCTAGCCCAGCCGCCCCCCAGTGCCCCCCAATCCCGCCCCTGCTAGCCCAGGCCTGGGCTCCCCCCGCCCCCACAGCCCTGCCAGCGCCCCCCAGTCCCGACCCGCAGCCCCTGCTAGCCCAGCCGCCCCCCAGTGCCCCCCAATCCCGACCCACAGCCCCTGCTAGCCCAGCCGCCCCCCAGCGCCCCCCAATCCCGACCCACAGCCCCTGCTAGCCCAGCCGCCCCCCAGCGCCCCCTCAATCCCGCCCCTGCTAGCCCAGCCCTGGGCTCCCCCCGCCCCCACAGCCCTGCCAGTGCCCCCCAATCCCGACCCACAACCCCTGCTAGCCCAGCCGCCCCCCAGTGCCCCCCAATCCCGCCCCTGCTAGCCCAGCCCTGGGCTCCCCCCGCCCGCACAGCCCTGCCGGCGCCCCCCAGTCCCGACCCGCAGCCCCTGCTATCTCCTCCCCTGTCTGCACCGACCCGGCACCTGTGCCTGCAGCACTCCCGGGGCTATCCAGGTGACGGGCGAAGAGCAGGCTTGGGGAGCCTCCCATTGAACAGGCTTCACCTGAAAGGGGCATTTCTCCCGCCTGGGGAGCCCGCAGGACACCGGCCCGCGCTCGGGACTCCTGGTTCTGATCGCAGTTCTGGGCGCTGAGCGGGCAGAGCAGGGGCTGGGCGCCAGGGCTCCGGGTTGTAGCCCGCCCGGCGGGAGAAGAGTGGGGCCGAGTGCGTTGCCGCGGGGGCGGGGCTGGGCGCCAGGACTCCTGGGTTCCATGGCCGGATCTCCTCAGGCAAGTCGCTGAACTGTTCTCTGAGCCACTGCGGAAACAGGGATGGAAGGAGCGGAAGAAAAATCATTTCCTGCTGACTGGAGATTTCAGTGTTAATATAATAGAGAAATTCAAGCCCAGCTTCCCAGAGCGGAGCCGGGGCCGGCTTAGGTAGGGCTGCAATAGCGCAGGGACCTTCCTGTCCCAGCCCCCGGACACCTGGGTCCCTCCCAGGCCGGCTTCCCCCGTCCCCCTGCGTGCCCAGGGGTGAGTCCCTGCTGAGGGCCGAGGGGATGGCTCGGCCGGGGGGCGAGTGGGGACGCAGGGGAGGGAGAGAAAGGGCAGCAGGGGGCAGGAAATCGCTGCCTGGAGGAAGGGGCTGCAGGGAGGAGGGGATCGGGGCTCCCCGAACTGCAGCTGGGACCAGAGACACCCCCGGGCAGCGCGGGGGGGTCTGTGCCGCTGAGCCCAGCAGAGTCCCTCCAACGCAGCCAGCGCCTGGGGAAGTTTTGAAGGGTTTAATGGTAATTCATCAAAGCAGGACTCCCCCCTCTTTCCTCCCCTGCAGGCAGGATTCCTGGTCCCTGACCCCGGGATCTCCGGGACGGAGCGCCGGGGCGAGCCCTGTGCCCGGGATCTCCAGGGCGCCGAGGAAAGGGAGACCCTGGCCGTCACTTGCACAGGTGACAAAGGAGTGACGAGGGCTTGGGGAGTCTCCATGAACTAACAGTCAGCACCCCGGGGTGCCATGCTACAGCCATATAGATGGGGGAGGCCAGAAGGGGCCATTCTGGTGGGCTACTCTGACATCCTGCCAAGCCCAGGCCAGAGAACCGCACCCCAAACCCGTAGGGCTGGTGTCAGTGATCCACAAAGCTGGGGGAGCCTGGAAGTGGCAAAACTGGCATCGAATAACTTGGGTTAGTTTGGCAATTTACGGGAGTGAAGAGATCCCCGCAAAGCCGCCTGGAGCCCTCCGGGTTCTGTCTGGTCTCGCTCAGTGTCATCTCCAGCAGGTCCCTGTCCCCTGCCCTCCCCCAGCCATTCTCTGGGGGCTCAGCCAGGCCATTGGGGCAGAACCAGCCCCTCCGCTCTCCTCTGGGGAAGGGTTTGCGTGGGATTCATTTCCTGCTTTTTAGATTTTCTGCCCCCTTTTGTGCCCTGTCTCTCCCTGGCACAGGGAACAAGCCCTGCCTGGATTCTCCCTCTCTCCCAGTAGGTGCTGGGATGGAGGAGGATAATCCTGAGCAGGAAGGGCCTGCAGGAAGGGAGCCTTGTGGGATGTCTCGAAGCACCGAGCAGGGAGAGGCCAGCGGGGTTGGACGGCAGCAGGAGACGGAGGCGATATCTCCGGATGAGATGGACATCAGGGTGGTGACAGAGCACAACCAAGCCCAGGCTGAGGCACGTCCCTACAGCTGCTCGGACTGTGGGAAGAGCTTCAGCCAGAGCTCCCACCTGGTCCAGCACCAGCGCATCCACACGGGCCAGAAGCCCTACAAGTGCACCGAGTGCGGGAAGAGCTTTGTCCTCAGCTACAACCTCATCGATCACCAGCGCATCCACACCGGGGAGCGCCCCTACAAGTGCGGCCAGTGCGGGAAGAGCTTCATCCGGAGTTCCCACCTCTTCCAGCACCAGCGCATCCACACGGGCGAGCGGCCCTACCAGTGCACCAAGTGTGGGAAGAGCTTCAACCGCAACTACACCCTGGTGAAGCATTACCACACCCACGTCGGGGAGCAGCCCTTCATCTGCAGCAAGTGCGGGAAGAGCTTCAGCCTGGGATCCTTCGCCCAGCATGTCCGCACGCACACGGGTGAAAAGCCCTACACCTGTGCCGAGTGCGGCGAGAGCTTCAGCAGCAGTTCCAACTTGAGCCAGCATCGGCGCATCCACACCGGAGAGAAACCCTACAGCTGTGGCCACTGCGGGAAAAGCTTCAGCCAGAGCTCCAACCTCATCAAGCACCGGCGCATCCACACTGGAGAGAGACCCTACAGCTGCCCCGAGTGCGGCAAGACCTTCAACCAGAGCTCGTCGCTCATGCAGCACCGGCGGATCCACCGGGGCGAGCGGCCCTACGAGTGCACCGAGTGCGGAAAGCGCTTCATCGACAGCTCCAAGCTCAACAAGCACCGGCGGATCCACACAGGTGAGCGGCCCTACAAATGCACCGACTGCGGGAAGGGCTTCAGAGACAGCTCCGCCCTCATGAAGCACCAGCGGACCCACACCAAGCAGAGGCAACCCAACTGCGGGGAGGGACTTTAGGGGAGGGGAAATTGACGTGATTGCAGGGGGACCCTCTGACAGTATCTCATATGCTGGAAACTGAGGCATGCATGCATATCAATCATAGAAGTATTTACCAACATTCTCATGTTCATCACAGACACTTTGGAGAAGGCTTCCTTGTTCAAGGTTTGCCAGCGTGTCACCTTGCTGGCGTTGTCCCCAACTCTAAAGCGTGCCCTGCCACACCCAGTCTTTTCAAGGAGGTCTATTTCTTTGACAGAGGTTAGCACACAGAACAGGAAACAGCCTTAACTCAATCTTGGCCCCAGGCTTCAGGGCCACCCCACCCCGGGGGTCTTGGGCACCCCTGCTCCTGGCAGTTTCCCAGTTTCAGCCACCTCTACATAAGAATACCCATACTAGGTCAGACCAATGGTCCATCTAGCCCAACATAAATGCCAACTTCTCATGGCACCGGTGGGTGCTCGCAGTCCCCCCCCATTCCAACCCCTTCCCCCAAAGTCCCCGCCCCAACTCCGCCCCCTCCCTGCCCCATTGGACCCCTCCCCAAATCCCCATCCTGGCCCCACCTCCTCCCCTGAGCGTGCTGCGTTCCCCCTCCTCCCCCATCCCTCCCAGCGCTTGCCGCGCAAAACAGCTGTTTCACGGCAGCAAGCGTGGGAGGGAGGGGGAAAAAGCGGGCACGCGGCGCGCTCGCGGAGGAGGTGGAGCAGAGGCACAGGTGAGCTGGGGCGGGGTTGGTTGTTGTTTTTGCATTTGTCTCTTTCCAATAAACTCTGATGCTTAAGGCACACCTGAGAGGAAAGGACTGTGTGTTATCATTTTAAACCATGCTCTTTCCACTGAAGTAGCTAAAAAACGTAGTTTACACATCTCTCCGCTCTCCAGCCTCTGGCCTTAACCTTACTGAGTCTGTGGCATTTTTGTACAAGAGGCCATGAAAAGTGGGATGGGGCTCAATGGGGATGATCTGGGGGTAGAGGAGGGATTTTTAGCTCATCTCTTAACTTCTTTTGACAACAGAAGCGTCCGGACTTGGAGCTTTCTTTGCAGCTGTCGTGACCAGGGAGCTGGGAATTTCCACTGTTCCTGAACCAAGGCAGGCAAAGGGCCCCAGACTGGGATTCAAACCCTCAGATCCCAGCACCACCCCCTTTTGTATATCCCACACTCAACCCCTGCTGAGCTGACTCCTTTCATCTCCCCTTGTAAACTGGTCCCCACAGCCTCTGATCATGTCTGTTGCTTTGCCCTAGGCTCCCTGCAATCTGTCTATATCTCTCCAGGATTGAGGGACCCAGAGATGAATCAAAAGGAGCCTCCCTGGGTTTATACAGACAGGGACTATCCCCTCTGTTCTCAGGTCTGGGAATGGGACTGCAGCCTTTCCCCTCTAGGGGCTTCGAGCAGCCTCAGAGCAGGGGAGTGGGTGGCTTGGAGGGTGAGGTGGTTGGGGGGAATGGGATATGGGACCTTCCCCTCTAGGGGGCACTGGCTCTGATCCAGCCCCAGGGCAGGGGACTGGCTCGCTCAGGGGGGCAGGGAATGGGATACAGGCCAGGACCTTAGTGTGTGAATCTCGTTTGCTGTGTTCATTAGGCCTAGTGTGAAAAAAGTTGGGTCTCAGCCCAGATAGGAACAGACAGGTGTGCGCTTGACCACTGTCCCCACAAAATGGTGGGCTCAGTGACAGCAGGGGCCATGAATCCCTGAGACATTTCTGCCTCCTCAGCTCCCCCCAGGGTTTGTGACTGAGGTATTTACCTCACGCCTGTGACCCCCTGTCCACCTCAGGCCCCAGAGACACCAAACCACAACATGCCCAACTGCCATGGAACCTCCAGAGACCAACACTCCCCCCCACCCCCGACTGCCACAGAACCTCCAGATCCCAATATCCCCCACCCCACTGCCACAGAACCTCCAGATCCCAGCACCCCCCACCCAACTGCCACAGAACCTCCAGATCCCAATATCCCCCACCCCACTGCCACAGAACCTCCAGACCCCAGCACCCCCCACCCAACTGCCACAGAACCTCCAGATCCCAATATCCCCCACCCCACTGCCACAGAACCTCCAGACCCCAGCACCTCCCACCGAACCTCCAGATCCCAGCACCCCTGACCCAACTGCCACAGAACCTCCAGATCCCAGTATCCCCCTCTCCCAACTGCCACAGAACCTCCAGATCCCAGTATCCCCCACCCGACTGCCACAGAACCTCTAGATTCCAGCACCTCCCACCCAACTGCCACAGAACCTCCAGACCCCAGCACCCCCCACCCGACTGCCACAGAACCTCCAGACCCCAACATTCTCCCCACCCCCAGCCGACTGCCACAGAACCTCCAGACCCCAATATCCTCCTCCCTCAACTGCCACAGAACCTCCAGATCCCAGCCTCCCCCATCCGACTGCCACAGAACCTCCAGACCCCAGCACCCCATAAGAACATAAGAATGGCCCTACTGCGTCAGACCAAAGGTCCATCCAGCCCAGTATCCCGTCTACCGACAGTGGCCAATGCCAAGTGCCCCAGAGGGAGTGAACCTAACAGGTAATGATCAAGTGATCTCTCTCCTGCCATCCATCTCCACCCTCTGACAAACAGAAGCTAGGGACACCATTCCTTACCCATCCTGGCTAATAGCCATTAATGGACTTAACCTCCACAAATTTATCTAGTTCTCTTTTAAACCCTGTTATGATCCTAGCCTTCACAACCTCCTCAGGCAAGGAGTTC